TCCCCAAATTCTCTTTAGTTTTCAGATTTCGCTTAAGTTCACTCTATTACTCAGTGATCTATAGCTTAAAATGGAGGATTCAACATTGAAGAGTAGTAATTACCTTCTCTCGTCAAGAATGGTGAAGACAATTTTTGAAGGAAGGGGTTTATGGAGCCACATCTATGATGGTGAAGTGGAGTCTCCAAAGAAAACTATCCTAAGAGAGAATTGTAATGAAGTGGAGTTGACTGGCGATTGTAGTTGGGGTCAGGAGGATCTCATGGTGTTATCAATCATTCAAAACAGCCTTGAGACATCAATCTTGGAAGCTTACTCATATTGTGAAATTTTCAAAGAGTTGTGGGATACACTTGGGAAGATATATGGCAATTGCAAAGAGTTCAAGAAATAAAGCATCCAAAATTTTGAAGAAAAAACCATGTATTCTGCCTTCAGTAGTGACTCAAATAAACAAGGAGCATGGAGAAGTGCAGATAGTGCTATCAGAACTATGACCCAGTAACAAGGAGTGATTTAAATAACTTCATTAGGGTTGCCAAAGCCATCATCTCATCTAAGAAGGCGAGTACAAAATCTAAACCTATCATTATAGATCCATGAGCTAGTTACCATATGATTTTTTATATGAATTTGATAAGTGATGTCAAGCCTGCCTCATGGAATGTAATGATAGCCAATGGAGATAAGGTTAAGATAGAAGGGATATAGAACCTTAAGTTGTTTGATAGAGAATCTTCTGCCTTATATATGCCTCAATTTACTTCTAACTTGTTATTAGTAAGGGATGCTATAGTTGACTTGAGTTGCTAAGTGGTTTTCAGACCTGATGATGTTGAGTTTCAAGACCTAATACATGACATGTAATTGAAAGATGACACATTCATGATGAACTCTATCATCTCAAAAGAACATAACCATCTTCTTCTATTTGCATGATCAGTACTTCCCCAGGAGTTGATGGCACTATATGGCATGCCAGATTGAGACATCGTCATGCTAGAGCTCTACACCTAATGATTCCTAGTGTGGTGTTTGGGAATGATGGGTGTGAAGCATGTATCTTGGGGAATCATTGTAGGATAGTTTTTTCAAGGTCAAATACAATTTATGATAAGTGTTTTGACCTTGTTCATTCTGATGTGTGGACTGCACCATGTTTGTCTAGAGAAAATCACAAATAATTTGTTACATTTATTGACGAGAAGTCTAAGTAAACTTGGATGATATTGATTCAGTCTAAAGACATAGTGTTTGAAGCTTTCAAGAATTTACAGACCTATGTCTTCAATCATTTCAATGCGAAAATCAAGATTCTTAGGTCAGATAATAGTGGAGAATACACAAGTCAAACATTCAAGCAGTACCTATCTCAGCATGGGATTAAACATCAGACAAGCTGTCCTTATACTCCTCAAAAAATGGAGTAGTTGAGAGGACGAACATGAATCTGATCGAAGTAGCAAGGTCAATGATGTTCCATACTAATGTTCCAAAAAGGTTTTGGATTGATTATATGATGGCTACTTTTTATATGATCAATAGATTCCCATGAAGGTTCTTAATGATATGTCTCCATTTGAGGTATTAACCATCAATAAGCCCTCTTTAGATCATCTACGTGTATTTGGATGCCTATGCTTTGTGTTGATACCAGGGGAAGAAATGAGCAAGTTAGATGTCAAAAGCTCAAAAGCTATGTTCATTGGCTACTCTCCAACACAAAAGGGTTATAAGTGTTATGATTCAGTGGCAAGAAGGGTTCTAATATCAAGAGATGTGAAATTTATGGAGACTAAGGGCTATTATAATGAGATGAGTTGGGATGAGGTGAAGAATTTCTCCCAATCAGCCTCAGATAGAGCAAATAATCTGAGAATCATCTTGGAAATCCTTGAAATCAGTCAGCCCAAAGAGAGTAACAAAATTATGGGACCTTCTACTCCTTAAGAAGCTGAAGAAATTGTAGTAGCAATACATCTTGATCTCGAGAGGGGGGAGGGGAATCAATAAAATCATCAGCTGTCCACAATTCACCTGTCCATGATTCAGTTGTTCGTGCGACTGTCCATGATTCAGCTGCCCACAATTTGAGAACACATGATTCAGCTGTCCATGATTCGACTGTCCATAATTCAGCTGTTCATGATTTAGCTATCCATGATTCAGCTGTCCATGATTTGTCTGTCCACGATTCAGATGTCAACGATTTAGTTGTCCATGAGTCAGCTGTCCACGATTCAGTTGTCCACGATTCAGTTGTCCATGTTTCAGTTGTTCATGATCAAGATGGAATGCAAGAAGAAGTAGAACCACTAAGGAGGAGGACAAGGGTGAAGAAACCATATAAGTGGGTAAACACCAAAGTTTACTTCAACAAAAAGACAGTTGCTCACTCTATACAAACCTCATGTTCATTAGCCGCTACCCTTAAGAACACATTGTTTTTATTGGTGAAAAGGATCAGGAGTATATCCCGAGATCAATGAACAAGCAATGGAGCATGAAGAGTGGAGAGAATCTGATGGGAATGAAACCAATGCTATGATAGTCAATGATATTTTGTATGAGGCTGAGCTTTCCAAAGGTAAGAAGGCAGTAACAATCCGTTGGACCTTTACTATCAAGTACCTAGCAAATGAAAACCAGAAAGGAAAAAGACAAGGATGGTTTCAAAAGGATTTACTCAGAAATATGGTGAAGATTATCATGATACATTTGCTCCAGTTGCCAAACTCCACACCATAAGGATTGTGTTTTCATTGACAGTCAAATTGGAATATGATCTATGGCAGATGGATGTCAACAATGTATTTCTACAAGGAGAATTGGAAGATGAGGTTTACATGAGGCCACCTCCAGGTCTAGAATATCTTGTCAAACAAGGAAATGTGCTTAGACTGAAGAAAACAATATATGGTTTGAAACAACCACAAGAGCCTGGTAGTATAAATTAAGTACAACTCTCAATGGAAGAGGGTTCATGAAGTCTGAAGCTGACCACACTCTTTTCACCCTCACCAGTCAACATGGCATTGTGGTCATCCTCATATATGTGGATAACATTATCATTATAGGAAGTGACAAGGAAGGTATCACCTTAACTAAAGCTTTTCTTAAATCTTTCTTTGATATTAAAAACTTGGGTGAGCTAAAGTATTTTCTAGGGCTTGAGATTGTCGATCTAAAGAGGGGTTATTATTATCCCAAAGAAAGTATACACTTGATTTGTTGAGTGAGGCAAATGATCTTAGAGGAAGAGCAACAAAGGCCCCATTGGAAGAAGGCTATAAGGTGTTACGTGTGGGGGAGTTTGAGGAAAAGCTCTATGAAGATGTCAAACACTACTGAAGAATGGTTGGGAAACTCATCTACCTTACCCTCACTAGGCCAGACGTGTGCTTTACAGTCAACCAAGTCAGTTAGCACATGCAAATCCCAAAATACACCGCTGGAATATGGTGGAAAGGATCATGAGATATTTGAGAAGCACAAGGGTAAGGAGTATGGATGGGTTGCAACAAAAGTACATAGATTGTGGAATATTGTAATGCTGATTGGGCTGGTGATAGAGTTGACAGGAGGTCAACAACCTGTTACTTCACCTTCATAGAAGGGAATTTGGTCACTTGGAAGAGCAAGAAGCAGAAGGTGGTGTCTTGTGCAAGTGCTGAAGCAGAGTATCAATCTATGAGGAAGCTACTAGTGAACTCATATGGATCAAGGGACTATAGAAAGACTTGGGCATAGAAACAACCTCACCTATCACAATGCAAGACAATCAGTCAGCAATTCACATAGCATCTAACAATGTATTCCATGAAATGACCAAACACATTAAGGTGGATTGTCATAACGTCAGGCAAGCAGTGGAGCAACAAGTCATCCTCCCATGTTACACAAGATGTGAAGATAAGTTGGATGATATCTCCACCAAGACAGCAAGCATTAAAGTGTGTGAGTTCATTCACCCAAAGCTTGGACTCATAAAGCTTCCATTACACTAATTCCCTTGACCATGAGGTGTTCTGCTCTTTTTCTTTGGTTTGGTTTTTATCCCAAATGATTTTTCCAGGTTAAGGTTTTAGAGCATCTCCAATCCACTCCATAATTTACTGCAAATGAAGTGAGAAATGGAGTGATGAAGAAACAAAAAAGTGATTACTCTATAAATAGAGTAATGGATTTTTTTGTTTCTTCATCACTCCATTTCCCACTCTATTTTGGCAGTAAATTATAGAGTGTGATTGGAAATGTTTTTAATGAAGAAATGTTATATGGTGTTTAAGCTTGACTAATTCCTATGATCAAGCTTAAGGTGAACAATAACTCTGTGAACAGTAACTTGATGAACATTAAATTTGGTGAATAGTAATTTTGTGAACAGTAACTTCCTTTGTGTTGGTTGCCTTAGAAAAAAGACATACTAATAATCTTCTAACCACCATTATAACAATCAAAGAAAATCATTCTTCTTCATTCTCTTATTCTCTCTGGTGAAATCTTTTATCTATATTCTATTGTTCTTACAAGTTCTTCATATTCTTTATTTAAACTCTCCTAATTCTATCAAATCTCACAATTACTACTCATGCATTTATTTATACCCATTATTCAGCATCAAACTCCCACGTCCTTTTGCAAATTTATGTGTCCATAAAAGTTTTGTATATTTTTGACTCTCTTTCTTATATGAATTCGTATAAAATTTAACAATCACCCGAAACGTGATTATATAAACCAAATCCATTGAACAATTAGGTATTATAGTCAGCTTCGGAAGAGATTTTTCATGTATGTGTATATTGTTTCAAAGCGATTTATTCATAATATAATCTTACCAACGTAACAGTGAAACAAACCCACGACAAAGACATGATTATCATAGTACGTACTGTCAAAACATTAAAATGGTAAAGTGATGTCCAAAACATTTCTTCCGAATTAGATGACAAGTCTAAACCAAAAGACGTAATATGATATAGATTGTGACGCGCAAATCAATGCCGTCCGTGAGAGTGTCCAACACCTGGGCTGTTGCCGGGATTCGTAGGCCTAAAGTCTGTGGGGTGGGTGATGGCCGCCTTGTGAAGAACACTGCGTCGTGTATATGTGACAACTATGTTTGGATTCTCAGCCTCAGGTTTCTTATAAGTTGGCTCAATCTCTAACGAAGTAGTCTTCAAATGTCTCTCTTCTGTATTCTGAATTCCATGCCAAACAGCCAATCCAAGGAAAAAAATAAATGTAGAAACAGTCTTGTTCGACATTCCCATAAAGTCACGGACAAAATTGAGAAAATATAAGAATGTGTAAGAACCTAGAAAACGAAAACAAAATATTTATGTTAGATACAAGAACATAAGACGGAAATAAGAGGAATGGGATATTCTGTATTTATAAATATAATTAAGGAGATGAAGCTTTCATTGCCTAGCATTGTCTTACATATGATTCAAATAGGGAAATGATGATGTTTTATGATGTCTGAGTATATAATGTGATCCAGGTGATTCATACTTCCATATGTTTCCAACTTTGCATGTCTGCTCTCTTATGTATACATGGCCCATGCATTGACACGCTCAGTTTATTTTGGTTCACATGTACAGTGGATTGAGGAAAATAGCTATTTAGATTATGGCCATGGTATGCAAAGATTCATCTTGATTGTCGACAAGAAAAAAATTATTGGGGCTTACTATGACAAACATGAGAATAAAACTGCATATCATATTGTTGAGTTGTGAAGACAAATCTTTTGGATCCGATCTTTGATTCTCCGAAGTCCGAACGGGCTGCATACGTAAGCAAAGGTTTTCATCAAGTATATTTGAATATTTTAGGTATATCCTCGTTTATTCTCTTGTTAACCTTTGTCACCGGTTTATATTTTTTATAAAATGAGGTTTAAAACCTAATGTATTCATCATCTTAACATATCGTGCACAAAAATAACATATCGAACCTTGAAATCAATACAACTATTTTTTTCCCGTAGGCAAGATGAAATATAGACAACACAAAAAGTAAGGGTCCTTCATAAATTGTTTTACGGAAACTACTAAATTCTTCTATCATATTTTCATAAGTGAAATAATTACACCCAAACAATTTTTAAAATTTAAATATCACAATAAAACACTTTCTTCTACAGACACACTTTTCACTAACTTTATCACGTATCGTTCAGTTTTTCTAATTAAAACAAAACTATATTGTAAGTAGTAGTACCTGATTTTATTTCTGTCTCTCTTTATCTTTTGGATCCAATTTCATCTCTTTCTCTTTTCTTCTTTTTTATCTCTGAAACTTTCTCATCTTCTTCTTTTCAAAATCTTTGACTTCCAATCTTTTTTTGTCCAAAGATTATCTTTGCAAAATCCAGAATGAACCATAAATTTAGTTCATAGTGACTGATTTACCACCATAGATCATACACATCATGATTGATGTAAGTCGACCGTAATTCACAAGCACGACAAGCTCCATTGCCACCTCCTTTCTTCTACACACATCTCTCTTCTGCAGTATCTCAAGTCTTATGGGAAGCCTCTACGTCGTGTCCTCAGCCTCTCTTCCATGGTGCCAAAGAGGTTTTCGTGGTGATCTCAGCCTCCGGTGGATCGTAAAGGGAAGCAGCCGCTGCATCCATAGATCGCCATTGTTGAAACTTAAAATAAAGTTTTCTTAATTTTCATATGTGGTCCTTGTAATTTTACTTATTTTACTATGGCCATAAAAATTTTAGATTTTCAAATAAGTCCTCTTCAGTTAACCTAAAACTTCTAAATTTGCATTTTAGACCCTATCGAATGAAATAAACAAATAAATATACCAAAAACCTCTAAATGCATATTTTAGCAACTATATTCAAAATCATTGAAATTACTAATTATCATAATTTTAGCAATGTACAAATGAATCGGTGTACATGCGATTTTCGTATAATATTGTATACATGGACAATAAAATATATTCACGTCGACGATATTTGACACACTAAATACTTTTCAAGTATTATTCTCAAAACTAAATTAATATTAGTCTCTTAAGATTATATATATTTGTCAAATTGTGTTTAAAAAATTGTAGTTTTTGATCATATGTAAACCTAAATCCGGTAAGAGATTAGCTACAATTGATCCAGAAAACATGTTTTTTTTTCTGATCAAAAACTTGATTTCTTTAGACAATCATTTTATACAGAGATTCAGAGTTCATAAGTACATAGTCTTGCGTTGGACATATTGAAATCCATAAGACTGGAGTTTCTATTGTTTATGTTTGTCCACGTGTACGCTGAATTTTAACATTATCCATGTGTACATAAAACCATGTGTACATAAAACCATGTGTACACCTAAATCCGATAAGAGATTGAGCTACAAAATCGATAGAAAGTGATAAAGAGTATCTCAGATGGTATGGGTGGTAGTTATGAGTTATCCAAATCATGCTCTCATCTTGTTCCAGTAGAAGAGATCGAGAAAGTTTAAATCTTGTTTTATCTCCGATGATGTTTACTCAAAATACAACTTCTGAAGGAGGTTAAAATACTGTAATAAAAAACATACCAAATATTCATGTATACATTGTAGGGATTTTTGCAAATTTGACTCAAAACTCAAAGTCAAACACAAAACTAACCTTTCTTGTTTTTTGATTTTTCATTTGTCTTATTCACCCCATCTGTTCACATTATTTACGAAAATGCCATTACACTTTTTTCTTTTCTTTTTTTTGAAAATTATTTTTTTACTCTCTCAACCTCATCATCTTCAAGTATTTACAAGANTGAGCTGGACGACTTACTTCTAAGTCGTCCAGCTGGACGACTTACTTCTAAGTCTTCCAGCTTTGTATGTTAAAAAAAAAAAATCTGGACGACTTATAAATAAGTTGTCTAGGAAAAACAGGCTAATTTTGCATTTGACCGAATTATGTCAGATATTTGACTTTTCCTGGACGACTTATTAGTAAGTCGTCTCCGGGAACGTTAAAATTTCAATATTTTATTAAATCTAGACGACTTACGGATAAGTCGTCTTAGGTTAGTTTTGTAATTGAAAAAAAAACTTTAATTTTAATTTTTTTCCAGAAGACTTAATTTAAAGTCGTCCAGTCAGACAACTTATTTTAAAGTCATCCAGTCAGACGACTTATTCTAAAGTCGTCTGAGATAAATAAAGTCGTCCAGATTTTTTTCCGGTCAAACTTTGCTTATCTCGGACGACTTTAAAATAAGTTGTCTGACTGGACGACTTTAAATTAAGTCTTCTGGAAAAAAATTAAAAATAAAGTTTTTTTTTTCAATTACAAAACTAACCTAAGACGACTTATCCGTAAGTCGTCTAGATTTAATAAATTATTGAAATTTTAATTTTCCCGGAGACGACTTACTAATAAGTCGTCCAGGAAAAGTCAAATATCTGATATAATTCGCTCAAATGCAAAATTAACCTGTTTTTCCTAGACAACTTATTTATAAGTCGTCCAGATTTTTTTTTTTTAACATACAAAGCTGGAAGACTTAGAAGTAAGTCGTCTCATTTAAATTTCAATTGCAAAAATGACTTGTCTGGAAGACTTACAATTAAGTCTTCCAGCTGGATGACTTTCCAGACGACTTAATTATTAGTCTTCTACTAAGTCGTCCAGAATTTATGAGTATGTATTAAGAATTTGTGTTAGTCTTCTTAGATGACTAATAATTAAGTCATCTGGAAATTCTTCCAGCTAGATGACTTTCCAGAAGACTTAATTATAAGTCTTCTACTAAGTCGTCCAGACTTTATGAGTATGTATTAAGAATTTGTGTTAGTCTTCCCAGATGACTAATAATTAAGTCATCTGGAAAGT